AAATAGCATGCGTAATAAAGATATTAGTGCTATGTTGCTCGTTAATTTAGTTAATTTTCTACTATTTTATATGTAAGTACAAAAAATGCTCTTAAAGTGCTCTAAAGTACACCTTACAGTGCTCTTAAAGCGCATCCTAGTGTTGTCCCCGGCTTGATATATTACCAGATGCTTGAAGTAGTTAAGACTGTCGGTGATCTATAAGAGTGCTCCAGAGGACTGTACTGGCAGTGTATTCAGTGCAGCCCACAAACTGTGAGAATAATGAAAGCTTCAAAGGTCATCTACCAGATCCTCCAATGAACAAGGTCCGCATATGGTGCATACTAGCCTAGTTCATCACAGCAACTACAAGGCCAGTGACAAGTCACTCAGTACTCTAGAGATAATGGGAATTGTGATTGGGGCGCTATTGGCCATCGTTATTGTGGCTGCCTTAATCGAAATTCATAGAAAGGTACTAAATCAGGATTCGCGCTACTCCTAAAAGTCCTTGAAAAGTCTTGGAATTGAAAAATCGTTTTCAAGGGCGCTTGGAAGCCCTTGAAAATTGTGAAAATCACTGAAACTCCTGGAAAACACCTTGAATCTGATAAAATTGACATGTTGATTGTTAGCTTTTGGATTGAAATGTGGCTATTTTAAAAAATCGCCACTTGAAACGTCCGCAAACATCTAAAAATATCTTCATACAGTAAATACTCCTTGAAAATCGCATTTTACTTGAAAAGTCCTGTAGTTTTGTAGTGAAGATGTTGCACGAACTCTGTAAATGTAGAGTGCAAATAATATATCTGTGAAAGTTTTAGGGATTTTTTTCAGAGGCTATTAATACAAAGTATATGCGCCCGACGCATTGAATAAGAAACCGTCAAACTTACATTGCAATCTATGTTTTCTTTATTTTAGCGCAACACTAGCCCTCCACAACGACCCGAAGAACTGAAGCTTAATCCTGTTATTGAAGATCAACAAGCTAAATTAAAGTAGCTGATTGGAGCAGATTTCGTATGACTGTGAAATTAAAAAAATAAAAAAAAAAAATAAATAGTAAAATAAAACAAATAAATAAATAAAAAAGGAAAGAAAGAAAGGGATTTAAAAAAAGGACAGTGTCGTGCTGTCGGATCGTGTCGTCTCCTGGAGCCCAGTTGTTCTTAACTAAGACAACAACAAAAATCCGGTTTGGGACCGGGGCTGTCGCTGGGCAATTTTATCAACACTTATAGCTCTGTTATTAGAGTTCGGAACATTTTGTCACATCCCGGTATTTTAATTTATATCCCAGTAGGTAAATAATAAGTGTATTTATTCCAGATATAGTTTTTATTGTAAAATAGAATTTTAGAATTTGTAATAAAAAATAATTTCCTTGTATTTCGCATCGCACCGTGGTTATATTGAACTCAGTTCAGTCTAATTACGTCACATCAAAACATTCTGTTGTTTTAACGCTAAGGATTATGGTCGCCAGAGGGAATCAGAGTGACAGCATACCAAATAAAATGCATATAGATGAGCTAGAGTGATCGTACTTAAAGCGTGCAACTGTACAAAATCTAAGTAGTATTAATTTGTACTAAAAGTGGACCTGAAGCAAGACGGTATTGAATGCTTCATTTGAATCAATTTAATTTGCGTACCGCATGCACGATTTACTAAATAGAACTATTTAGTTTGTACAGTTGCACGGATTAAGTGCGATCACTCTAGAGTGATCGCACTTAAAGCGTGCAACTGTACAAAATCTATTTAGTTTTGTTGCACATTAAGTGGGATCACTCTACAAATGAAGCATTCAATACCGTCTTGCTTCAAGTCCACTTTTAGTACAAACTAGACGCATAACTGCGTGAACTCGGGGTTCTCATGGGTTGATAGGTAATTTTATGTCTAACATGATATAGTTTCAAGAAAACCTTTTTTTTTTTTTGCTTTACTCAGTAGTCGTTTGATGTTATTGATATCAATTTATTAGGGTACAATATAGTCGAGTTTAATTTGTTTTACTGTTTGTTAACCGTATTGAAAGATATACGAGTAAATTAATAGATAAGTTATCAAACAAGCAGCCCTGAAGCTTATTTTGGAATCCCTTTGTTGCTGTTCTTAGATAACAACTCTGTTGGCGGATAGCGTTGAGTAAGTATTGTACAACATCAAAAATAAAACAAAACACTCTCTCTAATGAGATTCATAGGTCTATGGCACAGAGGCATATTTGTCTGACTTAATTGATTCTTAATTTTCCCACCGTCACTGCTTGTGAATATTAAAAAGAGAGACAGAATACTTTGGAATTATACTGATAGTRTTTTAATGAACAAATTAGGCAAACTTATTTCTAATGTACAATGAATATACATCWTTAATTTCAACAAATGAGTCATCTTGATTGATGGATTCTAACTTGAAAATAATATTGTCTTAGTACTCTTGAAACTAGTTCTAAGAAAAATACATAGGCAACGGCCGGGAAATAAGACAAACTTAGTTTCTAACATACAATAAACATATAATTTCAACAACTGATTCATCTTGATTGTGATGGGAAAAAAGTGCTCTTTTACAGTTGTATGTAAGTATATACATACGTAAGTCTTTTCAGATCATCTAGCCTTGTCTTATGACTTCACACTTGGATACCCTTGAATTTGTGGAATCGTATGTGATGGACATGTTTCTCAATAGCAAAAGTTTTTGAAGGAGAAGTTGGTTTTCCATCACAATGACGTTGTCTTCTAGAAGAAGGTTCAGGACATCGTCGTTCATGGCCAGGGTTATCTTGTCATCACCRTCTACTGGAATAACTACTTTAGCTATGACCTGTATCAGGCTACTAGTAAGACAGAAAAGTAAACCTCGTGGCTAGGTCCGCCATGATTTATTGTGCCCAAAACCAAAACACTACCGCGGGGCAGCATGGGAATTACACAGGGGGCCCAATACACAACATATCCCCCCAATAAAGTCTTATAACAAAGTTTTATAACAAAGGATACAAAAAATATAAATGTCATGAACTAATAACAGTGTTCATAAGTCCAATACAACTCGTGGCTTGGGTGTCCTCTGTGAACGCCTGAGAGGTGCTGGTGATGGACAAGAAGGCAGTTCAGACTCCAAACAGGGAACACCGTCTGTTGAAGTACCCGAGTCAATACTTGTAGAAACCTCCACTGTAGGTGGGCAGATCATGGGTGCATTTGGCACAATTGGAGCATCTCTAACTTCTGGCAAAGGAAGCTGTTTCTCCTGAAGCTGAAAGGGACCTGGTGTTGCAGTGTCTTTAGTGAAGCGCATACGGATCTGGTCTTGATGCTTTCTGACCAGACCACCTTGAAGCAACTCGACTACAAACGACACTGGGCCTGTCTGTGCGACCAAAAGGCCAGGYAACCATGYGTCACCCCTTCCAAAGTTTCTTGCATAAAYAAGATCTCCAACAGAGAAAACTCTTTGAACAGCTCTCTTGTCATGCTGTTCTTTCTGTTGTTGTTGCTTACTCTCAACTTTGCTGTTTAGGTTTGGACGTAAATTATCAAGTGGTGTCTTTAATTCACGGCCCATCAAAAGCTTTGAAGGTGTTTCCCCAGTAGTCGTGTGAGGTGTAGCRCGGTATTTRAACAATAMTCGCAGCAACTTGCTTTCTAGAGTTCCATCAGAGTGCTTAAGTCCATCCTTTACTATGTTGACAGCTTTCTCAGCAAGGCCATTTGAAGATGGATGGTACGGAGCTACTGTTATGTGTCGAACTCCATTCTGTTCCATGAAGTCCTTGAACTCCTTGCTAGTAAAGCATGTGCCATTATCGGAGACTACYGTGTCAGGAAGACCATGAGTAGAGAATGAAATTCTCAATTTTTCAATTGTAGCAGATGAGGTGGCAGTTCCAGTGACAAATGCATCAATCCACTTTGAGTGTGCATCAATGATCACGAGGACCATCTTGTTACCCGGTAAAGGCCCTGCATAATCAACATGAACACGACTCCATGGACGACTGGGAAACTCCCAAGGATGTAATGGTGCAGGACCTGGAGGAGGTCTTGTGCTCTGACAAGTGTTGCAAACCCGAACAGTTTGTTCAATATCTTTGTCTATGCCTGGCCAATAGACGTATCGTCTTGCAAAGGACTTTGTCTTTACAATACCAACATGCCCTTCGTGGAGCATTTCAAGGACTTCAGGTTGAAGATTCCTTGGGATGACAACTCTGTTGCCCCAGAGGACACATCCACGTTCCAGGCTTAATTCATTTCTACGGTTATGGTAGGGGCGCAGGTCATCATCAATTGTGTCAGGCCATCCCAACTCAAGATAACGCAGTACTTTTGACAGCACAGAATCACGGGCAGATTGGTCTGCAATCACCGTGGGTGTTATGGGTGCAGATGAAAGAAAATTGAGGAGATGTATGGTCTCAGCGGGCATAGGAACAGTTGACGGAGTGTCCGGCAATGGTAATCGACTGAAAGCATCAGCATGAGGTATCTGAGCACCTGGCTTGTACTTGAACTCATAATCGTAAGCTGAAAGTGTTAGCGACCAACGTAGAATACGCCCTGAAGCCATAGTAGAAAATGATTTTCGTCCTCCGAAAAGTGTCTCTAGGGGTCTGTGATCATTGTTGATGATGAAATGTCGGCCGTAGAGATAATTGTGAAACTTTNATAGTAGTTAAGGAGTCCCAAAAAACTCCTAAGTTCTGAAACGCTTGTGGGAGCAGGAGCATCCAGAATGGCACGCACTTTTTCTTTAACTGGATGTAGCCCCTTTTTGTCGATCTTGTAGCCCAGGTACGTCACCTCGGTAGACAAGAAGACACATTTGTCCTTGTTTAACCTCAGTCCGGCGCTAGACAGTCTATGAAGCACTGCATCAAGGTTAGCGAGGTGCTCCTTGTCGTCCTTGCCAGTTATCAAGATATCATCTTGATAACCAACAGTACCCGACAACCCTTGGATCAGATTGTCAACAATACGTTGGAAAATGGAAGGTGAGGATGATATTCCAAAGGGAAGTYTTGTGTACTGGTAAAGACCTCTTTGGGTGTTGATTGTGGTGTACTTTCGAGAATCTTCATCAAGMGGCACCTGTAAGAAGGCATTACTAAGGTCAAGTTTTGTAAACTTTTGACCACCTGATAACTTTGCATAGAGATCTTCTATCCTGGGCAGAGGGTACTGGTCTGTATGAATGTCACAGTTTACGGTGAGTCTGTAATCACCACACAGACGAATCTTTCCATTTGACTTTTTAATGGGCACAAYTGGAGCTGCCCATTCTGYAAACTGTACTGGTTCGATCACCCCCTCCCTTTCCAACCGCTGTAGCTCTTCATCAACTGCATCTCCATAGTAATATGCAACAGGTCGTGGCTTGAAGAACTTGGGTAAGGCGTTCTCAGGTACRATAATTTTTGCCTTAAGTCCCTTAACTTGTCCAAGGTCTGATTTCCAAAGATCAGGATATTTGCATTCCAACTGGATGACAGATTCGGGGGACGTGGTGACTTGGTTAACTTGTAATGAAGTTATACGTAGTTKTTCAAGCCAGTCCCGTCCAAGAAGRCTGGGCCCTTGTCCTCCCACAACCATCARTGGCAGGTTGAATRACTCATCATTGTACTTTACTTGAACTGGTGTTGTCCCTATAACGTTAACGTCTTCTCCTGTGTAAGTGCGTAGTTTCGCATTGGTATTCTCAAGTTTMTTTTCCTTGAAGAATTTGCTAAATGTGTTTTTAGAAATCAAAGTTACTGCTGAGCCAGTGTCAATTTCCATTTCCAGGTGGTGGCCGTCAATGCATAAAGTGGTTTTGTATGCCATACTGTTACCACTTAATGTAAATAGATTGTAGGTTTGATCAGGCTCATCTTTTTCATCTACACTCACTTGATTTATTGGTCTTGAAGAAGATGAGGCYTGTTGTGATCTTTRTTTGGCTTTACATACCTTTGCTATGTGACCCTCTTTGCCACAAAAGAAAMAGGACTTATCTTTAAACGGGCAGTGTTCCTGGTTGTGTTTATCGCCACAACGATAACAGGATTTCTTMATTTTGGATAACTCTCTGGTCTCCACTTTGTGGACCTCTGAAACAGGCRGTGCAGAGACTTGCTGTTGGATATTTTTGGCTCCTGAGGTGGCGAGCTCAATGCTTGTAGCGATTTCAAAGGCTTTTGTAAAAGTGAGTTTTTCGTAATCGACGGAAAGTAGTCGCTTTTGTATTGTGTCGTCGTTTATYCCCATGACGAGTCGGTCTCGAAGCATTTCTTCTAGAACCGCACCAAACTGACATGTTTCGCTAACTTCTCTCAAGTTAGCGGCAAATGATGCAACAGACTGATCTGTTGTTCGCTCACAACGATAAAATTTGAAMYGTTGAACTATTGGCGAGGGTTTTGGGTTGCAGTGGTCTTCTAAAGCTTTACAAAGCTCGTTGTAAGAAAGCTCTGAAGGCCTTTTTGGTGAAACTAGTGAACGTAGAAGGCTGTATGTTTTGGCGCCAACGACGCTTAGGAGTATGGCTCTCTTCTTGTTTTCATCTTCGACGTCGTTCGCCAAGAAATATTGAGAAAGTCGTTCCGAATAGTGGATCCATTTTTCGTTAGTAGGGTCGAATTCTTCGATTTTACCGTACACTGCCATTTTAGTTATCCTCGTCGCCAAAATGACCTGTATCAGGCTACTAGTAAGACAGAAAAGTAAACCTCGTGGCTAGGTCCGCCATGATTTATTGTGCGAAGNAGTACAAATGTGGGCTTAGTGTTTTGTGATTGGTGCACTTTCTTGGTCTACGATTGGCGAATACATATAATCTCACGAATGGACCAATCAGAGTGACAGCTTCTCGATCCGATTTTTTCGTCAAGGTCAGTACGCAACAACGAAATGTTTACTGTAAGACATTGAAATAGATTACTTTATTTGTATATAAGACCTGWTAGGGATACATTAACTAGTTTTGTACTTGTGATAAAATGCACAATTTTTTTCCCTACAATWATCATAACTAATTACATAGAGTTTGTTGTGTTGTCCGTTGTATTCGTACAATTTGTACTGTTTTTGATACTTACCTTCGAGGAAACACCATAATTATGTTTCAAGTTAGTTGCTATTGGTTCTTTTTTCCTATCTTTCTATTGGTCAATTGCAGTGATTCTTCTAACGTGATTGGTGTAAATTTCGATCCGTTTCTTCTCTGCATGCTTGAGTCTGTCTGCTCTTTAATTTCAAGAACTGAAATACGTAAACAAATAAATATTATGTATACTAATTTACAGAAAAAAATTGATATCTGTTTTAATTGCTAAAGATACTTTAACATTTTTAAATCTTAGTATTATGAAGGTCTAATTAATATCTCTATTTTACCGTAAAATTTTCATGATGATGCATTWTATCTGGCGATTGTAAAACATGCTAGTACGCATATTTATTTTCTGTACTTACTTCTTGTAAATTTCTTAGCAACGTTGATTGATGGTATTTCAAGTAATATTATGTTCTCCAAGCGTGACTTACCTATCGGCACTTGATGTGCTTCCACGTTTTCATTGGYCYATGTCCGGCCAATCACATGCACAATTCTTGATTCTGTGATGATCAAGATGGCGACCGAGAAGTGTTCATTCGATTTTTCTTTATTATTTGGATATAGATTACGTATTATTTGAGTCTGCTGTTGCTTGGGTTTGAAAGGTAACTAATACTCTTAATACTAGATTAATAATAAGGAGAGGTTAAATTTAGAGTTGGGAAATTATGTTGACCCATGTTTTTAGTCTAGATTTGTAGACTATTTAATTGTTTCGTGAAATCATCTTCCTTTCTAATGGTGTCGACAATTTTGTCGTTGTGGTTACTGCTATATCTAAATTTAACACAATTAAAATGGCTTTGACTATTCAGGTAAAAGCTAACGAGAAMTTCAAGAGTGTCAGTCTGGTCATAGGACATTTTACTTTCTGAACTGCACAGGCATCCAGAAACTGGATGAAGTTATTGGTAAATATGATTTTTCCAGGTCTAATCTTTTCAGAGAAAAGGAACAGAATTATTTTCTATAGAAAATTGGAATATTTTTGAATAGTGTTAATTTAAAGCTTATACACAATCAAAATTATCAAAATTTAATATATAGATGACAGAACAATGCTTAGCTATCTGTCTTTATACTTTTGTCACTTTTCCCATCTTATCAATATCAATGTATCATTTATATCTTTGCTGTTAGCTTTGCCCAGGAGTTTACTTAAATAAAAATTTGAGAATTCATGAGTTCTTTAGTCTCTGACATTCCTTCAGTAGCTAGCTATAACAATTGTATAAGAACAAAATAGTAAAAATAGTAAATTCATTTAAAAGTCAATGATATTTTAATTGCTTCATGATCTGAGTAGTATACTGGAACTGTAGATGTATGAATATCATCTATAAATAAGTTCCTCATATTAATGTTTCTTATATAAACATGGTCTAGTAAACTTCCTGATATAAATGTAGGACCTTGAACTGTTTGTGTATAGCTTAATTGTTTTGTAATAGTACTGAGTGCATGGACATCATTATCTGCAAGGAAGTTGATATTGAAGTCTCCAAAAATGATGTCAATATTATGCATGTTTAAAATATGTTGAAGATTTAGCATAAATTGAGAAATATTGCAACCATTCTTGCGATATAGTAAAAGAATATTTATTTGTGTGCTACAATGTGCTTTAACAACAGAAAATGTTATTGCATTTATTTCAGGAATGTAGTTATATTCTGTTATTTCTAGATGGGCTTTTGAACATAATGCTAAACTGCAATACTTATCTGTAATATGATCTTGCCTGAGTAATGTAAAGGGGTGAAGATGTTTTTTTATGTCAGTATCATTGCTGCTAGGTAAAAGCTGTGTTTCTGTAAAGCATATCATGTCTGTATCAAAAAGATTTGCATCATGTTTCACATCAATGCTGTGCTTTTGCAAGGACCTGACATTTAGAAGACAAATAGTTAACTTTTGAGTGTTTTCTGGGGAAGCTTTAGGTGGTTCAAGTGGTGATGTGTCTCTTAATCTCTGATATTCCTTATGTACTCTTGGGTCTGCTTTAACATGTTTAGCTTCTATTTGCCCTAAAGTGTACAAACCATTCATGGAACGTGATCGACTTAAAGC